CATCTAATATTCTAAAGTGGTGGTTGGGCATTAAAATTTTTTCTAGGGTTCCTTTGCAAAATTTCACTATTCCCATCTTTTCTACACACACACACACACACACACACACACACACACACACACCCTGTTTCACACCAATCCACCATTTCCTGCTAAAACTGTTACTATAGTTGGTTTTCTTGTCTTGGATCTGCCCAATTACATCATTGACACTTTCTAAACAAATTATCTTTTGCTCAAAGCCAATGACCCATTTGTAAGGTTTTCAATATACCTTTACCAACTTTGGAGTCCTGTAGGCACTGTGGAATAAAGGTCGGACTGTTATTGGTGATGAGGTCAGCAGTTAATGCCCACTGGCTGCTCCTCTGCTCTGAAACTGCTCATTTCTCTAACCACTTACTGGCCAATTTGAGTAGGTTTTTGTGTTGTTTAATGTAAGGAGCCCTCGTGGTGCCTTGAGCTTCAGTGCTCAGCTGTTAGCGTGTGCTTTGGAACCTACTAGTAACTCCCAGGAACAAAACAAAACAGATTCAAGAGAAACTTAAAAAACCGAAACCCATTTCTGTGGAGTGGATTCCAACTCCTTGTTGTTAGGTGCCATCAAATCAGTCCGACCCCTAATGACCCTTGGCACAACAGAACATAGCATGGCCTGGTCCCGGATCATCCTCAAAATTCATAGCAACCCTACAGAGGGTTTCTGAGGCTTTAACTTTCTCTCCTCGCCCTACAGGATCGCTATGAGTTGGAGTTTATTCTTGGGCACACAACACAGTGTTTAGTGGTACCTGTTTTTATCACCAAAAACACCAGAAGCTCTTTAAGGGCAAGAGATTATTAATTTATATTCCTGAAGTTTAAAAGTATTCTGTGAATAATAAGTATGTAGCAAATTGTTATTGGAATGTTATCTCATACACAGTATTACATAATGTCCATTCATGTTGCAAGGAGCTTAGTGTTTTAAGTACAGTGAGCGAAAAAATCTGAAAAATTAATGGCATGTTTTGAATTAAACATCTTGCAACCTCCTAAGGGGGCACAGCATCTGATCAATGCAAATGAAGCTAAACTTTGACAAGGGTACAGAACACATTGTTGCCATGCGGTTGTGGCACATTAGCTATTACTAAGAGACACAAACTGCTTACACTATCCAGCTGTCATGCAAGTTGCAGATCTAGAATCCTGTGCCACCAGATTCGTTGGCAATCCTGGTGCGGGGCACCACAAGTTAGGTTTTCCTACTTTTCTCTATTGGGAAATAAAGAGACAGCCCCTTCCCCCGCGTCCCTGGATCTATCAACCCCACTCATTGAGAGACCCTACAGGACAGAGTATGACGGCTCCTCGGGCCTTCAAGACCATTAATCTTCACCGGAGCAGGTGGCCTCATCTTTTCCCCGCAAAAATCCAAGGAATCTCTGAGGAAATTCCCTTCCTGTACGTATCCCAAGTGTCCCCCCAGACGGTGGCGCCACGCTAGGACGCTTCCCCGTACAGCGCACGTGCTTCTGGAGGCGGGCAGTTTGCGTCACGTGACGCAGCTCGCAGGTCCCGGCTCTCAATTGAGGCGTCCCCAAAGATGCCTGCTTATTTTCTTATTTCGAGAAAGCGGGCCCACTCCCCTACGGCAAAATAAGACGTTATCTTGGATAGTTTTGACTTGCAAGACTTCCCTTTCCCTTCAGACCAACCCAACAGCGTTCCTTTTTTGAGCGAGGCGCGTCTTTCCGGGCCGCTTCCCGGGCCGCCTTGGGTCTTTCCGCACAGCGGCGCCGGTAGAGCCGTCACCGCCCGGCGCCGCGTCCGGCATGCTCCTTGCTCTCCCGGGGCCGGCGGCTTCAATGTCCTTACCCCGGTGTGCCCTGTTGTGGGCTCGGCTCCCCGCGGGGCGCCAGGCTGGTCGCCGGGCAGCTGTCTGCTCTGCCCTCCGCGCACCCGTTGGGCCCTTTCCTGGGGCCCTGGGGCGCGTGGCCGCCGCCTCCTCTGCCTCCGGTGGCTCCAAAGCCCCCAACACGTCCCTGTTTGTGCCGCTCACTGTGAAGCCTCAGGGCCCCAGCGCCGAGGGCGACGTCGGGGCCGAGCTCACCCGGCCGCTCGACAAGAGTGAGTGTGGGGCCAGGCGCAAGTGGCGGGAGGTAGGGCCTGCAGGCACAGGGTGCGAGAAAGCCGCACGCCCCCCGACCCCCCAGTCCCGCTCTGATCCAAGTCCCCGCGAGCTTGACACTGGCTGGTTAGGGTCGGTCATCCCCAGCCTTGGAGGAGCAGGGTCTGATTTACTCCCCAAAGGACCCCTGGTAGCGCCGTCTGGTCGACATTGGAGTGCTTTCAGAAAGACTGGTTCAAACCCACCAACAGCTCCGTGGGAGAAAGATGAGGCTGCGCGCTTGTAAAGATGCACAGCCTGGAAACCCTCAGTAGGGTCTCCGTGAGTCGGAATCGACTCGCTGGCTGTGGAGGGGATCTTGCCCAGGAGGTGATCTCTTTCTTTTCATTTTCTTCTCTCGGCACGATTTAAAACTGTTTGTGTTGGAATCATTAACATAGTTGCGTTCTATTCTATCTCTGCTACCTAGAACTTGGTCCTCCTTAAAAGAGAGCGAGCGAGAGCGCGAGCAGTTTTTGATTCTGTGTGTGTAAAACCAGAGGAGGACTTCTTTCAGGATTCTCTCTGTAACTGAGTGCTGACACAGCCTAAACCATGCTAGGCTCTCAAGGGAAAAACAAAGTCAGATCCAGATCTCCTTCCCTCCAGGAACTTAAGGGTTTTGTGGAAAGGGAAGACGTATTGATAACTAATTGTAATAGATGTCCAGACCACTGTCAACGAGTTCATTCCAACTATAGTGATCTGATACAGGATTTCCAAGACTTTGTAACATTTTTTGAGGGCAACCAGCTTTTTCCCTCATGATACAAAGCAGAACACTATCAGAATGTCCTCCAAGAGGCTGCAGGTAGTCAGAACATTTGGGGCCCAGGAAGAAAGGAAAAACAGCATCAACATGGGGTAGTGGATTTTGTGCCCTAAACTAACCGTGGGTAGATCTGACAGAGGGACTTGCAATTGTTTTCAAGGAGACCTGTGCACTTTTGGACTATATAGCTGTATCTCTTTATTTTCTGGTTGATTAGGGAGATGGGAGAATTTCTTTTGACCAAATAAAAATGTTATAGCTGTCCTCACACTATCTCCAGGCAGTTCATCTCGACAAGAACCAGTGGAACCTACGTGGCCATTTTAGAATAGATTACAACATGCTATGGATCAAATCTTATTTTCAGTACAGGACTTTCACTAAACATGTGATGGAATTTACAGTATATGTTAACTCTTTGACTTACTTTTCCAAACTCACTTTTACTGGGAGATAGAAACGCTATTATTTGAATAATGTAATTGTGTATTATCTTAAGGTGTATAGTGATTTGTGTGAAATGGTTTGCCTTATGCTTTGTATTCAAAGATAGGTAAATCTTTCTTTTGTGTTGTGATTCCAGTTGACCTAAAATGACTGCTATTGTAGTCGGTCTTCACATCTGGGTACCTTAGTCCCGGGTGCTCCCCGAACGAAGACAGCCGAATGCCAGCCCCAGCTTTGTTTTCTCGAGAATCCTCAGATAGCTCATTGGGCAGTGTGCGCTGGGCAAATTGTCATCTCCCTTAGTGAGCTTTGGTTCAGATAGTAACTTTACCATATAATCTTTTCCACATTATAAGGAGAGGCTGCAGAAGTTAATAAAGTTCTGTGATTCATTGTAGCCACGTGGTTAAGGTGATCTATTTCTCCATTGAGATACGGACAAGAAGCTGATGGTTCTCAATTTCTTTTGCCTGCCCCTCTCCAGAAACGTTGAGGTACTTCAAAACCCTGTCCTGTTACACCTTGCCTTCAGTCCGTTGGTTGGGGGATGTAGAGACCCATTGTCTCCCCTGAAGTAGTTAACATTTACGTACTATCTGTTAATTCCTCTTTGGTGTTTGTCTGTAGACTGGACCTCTCTCTTGTTTACTGGACTGATATATATATATCTAGCTACCTATCAGGTATCTATCTCTGCTTAGATTTCTCACCTGCGCCTCACTTCAGCATATCCACGACAACTGTACCCCGCCCCTTCCCCCAAACCGGTGCCTTTTCCAGTACTCCTATAAAATGCCCTGGATGCTCGAGGCAAAACCTGGTGGTTTGGATTCTTCCCACCATTCCTTCCTTCCATCCATCTAACAACCGGAACATCTAATGGGCTCATCTGACTGATTCTGTTGCATAGTTCATTGAACTCAATGAGCGACCCTATATAGAGTTTTTGAAACTGAATCTTTATGGGAGCAGACAGCTTCATCTCTGCCGCCAGACCTCTCATTGCAGCCAGCCCAGCTTCAGTGAGACACTGAGGACTTTAGACTGGACTGCTACAGTAGCCCCTTACTTGTCTGCTTGTAAACCCTTGATCTCTCCAGCCCATTCTGCAGCTGTAGTCCGAATATTCTTTTAAAAGATATAATCACGTTACTCTTTTGCAAAAAAGAGTCTTATCTCCGTCCTATACACACACACACACACACACACATTTGTCCTTAGTTATCTGTAGTCCGAATATTCTTTTAAAAGATATAGTCACGTTACTCTTTTGCAAAAAAGAGTCTTATCTCCATCCTACACACACACACACACACACATTTGTCCTTAGTTAAAAATCCTCCTTAGTCCTTATTATGGTCTATAAGCTGTTTCCTGATCTGGCCTGGGTCTTTCTCCAGCCTCATTGTATGCTGTTTTCCATACTCCAGCCATATTGATGAAGTGTGCCATGGGCACTTTTGCTCCAGGTCCTCTGTGTGCGCCACTTCCTCTGCAGGGACTCCTGGGCACTTCAACACCAGCCACTTCCTCTTATATCCAGCTGACGCTCCCTGATTCCTCACAGTAGCCGAAATACTGCTTGCTGACCTGCAGAATAGCTTCTGTCCCCAAACGCTCTTACCTTCCTTGGTTTCCCCTCAGTGACAGTCATTATGGTTGTAATTACTTGATGTGTGGGTGTAGACCTTTTTAACTGTATTGTGAATGAGGTGAAAGTTTATAGAGGAAATAAAGTTTTACATTCAACATTTCATACACATTCTGATTCAGCTCATCCATTGCTGCCCCATCAGTGTACCACACTTCTGTGACATGCAGGTGTCCTCTGTTCCAGACCTGAAGGGTGGCTCAGGACCATAGCCTTGGGGGTCCCACCAGTCTCTGTCTGACCAGAAGGCCTGGTTTTTATGATTTTGAATTCTGTTCCACGTTTTCTCCCACTCTGCCCAGTACTTTCTTTTTTTAAAAATCATTTTATTAGGGGCTCATATGACTCTTATCACAATCCATACATACATCAATTGTGTAAAGCACATTTGTACATTCATTGCCTCATCATTCTCAAAACATTTGCTCTCCACTTAAGCCCCCGGCATCAGGTCCTCATTTCCCCCCTCCCGCCTCCCTCATGAGCCCTTGATAATTTAGAAATTATTATTTTGTCATATCTTTCCCTGTCCAACATCTCCCTTCACTCACTTTTCTGTTGTCCGTCCCCCAGGGAGGCGGTCACATATAGATCCTTGTAATCGGTTCCCTCTTTCCAACCCATTCTCCCTCTACCCTCCCAGTATTACCACTCACACTACTGGTCCTGGATTCCCTGTGTTTCTAGTTCCTGTCTGTACCAGTGTACATCCTCTGGTCTAGCCAGACTTGCAAGGTAGAATTGGGATCATGATAGGGGGATGGGATGGGGGAGGGAGGAAGCATTTAGGAACTAGAGGAAAGTTGTATTTTTCATCATTGCTACATCGCACCCTGTCTGGCTCATCTCCTCCCCGAGACCCCTCTGTAAGGGGATCTCCAGTGGCCTACAAATGGGCTTTGAGTCTCCACTCCGCACTCCCCCCTCATTCACTATGGTAATATTTTTTGTTCTGATGGTGCCTTTTACCTGATCCCTTCGACACCTC